AAGGGGGCTACACCTACATTAAACATTCAACAGAGATGACTGACTGGTTAGAATTGGAACATAGTATTTGGGAAAACCTGAATCTGTGTTCCCAGGTAATTGTCACTATTTGGGTCCATTATAAATTATCTATTATTCCCTGTGAGGTGAGAGCTATGCTTTCGTGTCAACAATATCTATGGCAAAGATGTATTTTTCACTATAAAAAAAATAGTGAAGTCATACCAATTGTGGGCTGTCAACTTCATCATTAAGCTTGTATGTTATTTATTGATAGTACCAAACATGTAACAGAGTCAGAAAGCTAGTTAACAATATCACTGACAAGGCATATGATTTGGATGCTGGGCAGGGAACAAGAGCAATGGGTAGAATCTTGGAAGCAGGAAGGAGATGGACGAGTCTGCCCAGTAGAGTCACGGTTGTATCTCTGGTCAAGCTTTTGCAATGGCTCCGCTGCCTGCTCAGGAGCTCTCTGTCCGGCAGGTTTGACACTGCTTATAAAGGCTGATGACAGAAATCTAAGACTTTCTGTCTTTGGAGTAGAGACCTAGTGTTTTCTCCTGGCTGCTAGGGTGGTAGGAAAGAGATTCAGTTTTAGTCTAGCTCTTCGATTCTGAATTATGCTACATTTCTGGTTAACTTAAATTCATGTGTAATGTGCTACATTTTCCTCTTTTTGTTTTTTGGAGGGTCCACCACCTAACTCCCAAATAAATCACACACAGAGGCTTATTCTTAGCCATGAATGCCTGGGCTTAGCTTGGCTAGTTTCTTGCCTGCTTTTTTTGAACTATCCATTCTACCTTTTCCCTCTGTGCTTTTATCTTTCTAACTTCTGTATCTCTTACTTTCCTTCTTTCTCTGTGGCTTGCCGTGTAGCTGGGTGGCTGCCCCTGGTGTCCTCCTCTCCTTGTTCTCTTGTTCCTCTTCTTTCTTTTCTTTTCTTGGTTCGCCTTCTATTCTATTTATCCTCTGCCTGCCAGCCCCACCCTCACTCTTGGCCGTCCATCTCTTTATGAGGACCCTCAGGTGTTTGAGACAGGCAAAGTAGCCCAGCTTCACAGAGTTAAACAGATGCAGCAGAAACTAAAGTCCCCCCAGCACACGTTTGAAAACAATCCCCCCAGCACACGTTTGATCCAGTACTATATGTATCAACAAAGCTTGCCAAGGAGTGGGAGAATACATGCCAAATTGCAGTAAGATCCTAAAACGTGGAAGAGAGGCCTCTTAACTCCCATTTCCTGTTTTCTCTTCAACTAAAAAAGTCACCAAGCAGTTCATACCCTCAGGACTGAAGCAGCAGTGGGAGGCAAGGACAGACTACCGAATGGTCATGTTCATCGGCACTTCAAATAGCTTTCTATACTGTGAAATTATCACGGGAGTTGTTATCTCTCAAACTCCAAGGTGGTTAACGATGATTATAGGACAAGTTCAGTTGCTCTAGGATGCGCTGACACCTAATGCCTGTTCTTCAAATGAATTCGAGGTGACATTTCTGCATTAATAAAGGATCTGAGAAAGAGGTGGCCCCGAGCAATACCTTGATTCTCACTATCTTTTCAGTCTCTCTTCTGTCACCATGCCCCTTTGCTCACCCCACGTAGTCCATCTCCTCCGTCACCATTGTTCCTCTGACTTGACTCACTCCACTCTCTGAGGGAACAGCACCCAGCAGCAGCAGTGCATCACAGACACTTTGGCTTCTCTAGTCTACAATCGACTTGGCAAAAGCCCAGATCTGGTAGGATAAAAGGACAGGGACTTCACACAAGGGAGCTCTTTAGGGTCTTGTTCATTATTCTGCACCTTGGTTATCAGAAGCTTTCCCAGGTGCTATGTGTTGGAAAGGTTTTATCCAAGTAATAACATGACTCTCATCACCGTAACTCCTCATTCTAGGTGCCCACACCACTTAGCGAGGAGAAATCTTGGGGATGCTGAAAACAACTAAACCTTTCACCTTGGGGTTTAAAATAAAATTTCTTCATGATTACTATAGCTGAGGAGTAGTAAAAAATACGCAGAGAGGTCCCTTTGGCAAAAGAGTATTTGATACTCTCTAAAAGGAGATTAATCACACAGTTCTAATTCTCCATGAGATCTTCAGGTAACAAAGAAAGAACAAGAAACACATGGTCAATTATTCTCAACAGGAAACTTAAGAGCTGACAGAGCAATGGAACACCTCTACATCAGCAATAGGTCTATAAGGTGCCACTGGCAAGAGAAACCTAGGCAAAAATTTTTGAAGGTATTTTTCCACTTACAAACAAGTAAGAAAATATCATAGTAAATAGTTAAGAAATTTTACTATTTTTTTCTTTTGTGCTAAACATCAACTTAATCATGTGGATTTCATACAATTCTTCATACAAAAAGCTTATAATTGTAGTTTTGCAAGTGTTTATATTTCAAGGAAGAAAACCCTTTAGATACTAGCTATGTCTTCATGAGACAATTTGTGTGTGTGTGTGTGTGTGTGTGTGTGTGTGTGTGTATGTGTGTGTTGGGGGGGTTCTGTGAGTGTTTCTCTGTGTAACAGCTCTAGCTGTCCTGGAACTTGCTCTGTAGACCAGGATGACCTTGAACTCAGAGATCCACCTGCCTCTGCTTCTCAAGTGCTGGGATTAAAGGCACCACCTGGTTTAGGTTTTTGTTTTTAAATGCCAAAGCTGCAAGCTTAAAAGAAAAAGAAATCTACTGAAATTTTAATTGAGCTTAAAAATACCTTTATTGTTGCATGGGGAAGAAAGAGGGAGAAGGGTGGGAGGGAGAGGGAGGAAGACTACATACTATTGTTTTCTTGCACTTAAAAATGAATAATTAAACAAAAAATCATAAATTTTGTAGGTATATGTCATTATATAAAAAATCTCATAAATTTCTAGGTATATGTCATCATGCCATCAAAATAATCACAGGCTAGAATGGAGGACGCATTTTACCACTCCCTGATGAATAAAAAGACGTCAATAGTAGCCTTGGGAATTGAAGAAACTTGAAAGCAGAGAAAGCCTGACTTAGGGTGAAACTAATGACTCTTCTCCTGAGTCCAGCACAGTTCTCCCATTGTTCTCTATGGTAGGGCGAGGAGTCTTTGTTGTCGGGCTCACAAGGCAGCACCTTTACTCAGGACACTAAAAGCATGGAAACATTTCTCTAACGACACATGGAAGCTGTAAGGGGCATTTTTAGTTAGGTATCTTTTTCTCTTCAGGCTAATGTTCAAGCACAGAATCTCATGGATGACAGGCAAGCATCTTACCACAGAGCTTCTTCTTCATTTGAATAGGGGCAATTTATCCATATTCCATATCTTTTACACTAAACTAAGGAAGGCAAGTAGAATACCAACGTGGGAAGAACACTGACATGTAAAAACACACAGAGGACAGAAAGCTCATCATGGGAAGAACACTGACAT